ACAAAGACCAAGTACTCTCCACCAGTGCTCATTCTCCACCACCAGAATTGCTCCCATCCCCCCACCATTCCTTTCCCACCCCCACCCCCTATGGGGTGCATTCCCTTTTGCTTTCTCTCTTTAGAGTGTTGTGTGTGGTCTGCTATGCAAGTATTAAGTAGCCATCATGTTCGTCTGTAGTCAACTTTCAGGACACATCTTCCATCCCGAGCAGGTCCTCCAAACATCCAAACTTGGTGGTCCCTTCTCTATCTGAGCAGGCAGGCACTTTTCCTCTCTCTCTCTCTCTCTCTCTCTCTCTCTCTCTCTTTCTCTCTCTTTCTCTTTCTCTCTCATTATTGTTTGCAATACAGATACTGAGTGGCTATCATGTTTGGTCCTTTACTCCTTTCAGACACATCTCCCATTCTGAGCAATCCCTTTCATCCATCATTGTCATAATGGTCCCTTGGGCTGGAGCGATAGCACAGCGGTAGGGCGTTCGCCTTACAAGCAGCCAACATGGCCGACCCGAGTTCGATTCCTCTGCCCCTCTCAGAGAGCCCGGCAAGCTACCGAGAGTATTCGATATGCAGACACAGTAACAACAAAGTCTCCAATGGAGACGTTACTGGGCCCGCTGACGATCAACGGGAGGGCCTTTACCTTTACCTCTATCCCAATGAATGGTGCCTTCTCGAACCCCAGCTCTGGAGGCAGACTTCCAATCATGCACCACTCCTTCTGGCCCTTGTTTCTACTGTCCTTGGGTGTTAGTCTTATACTATGGTGTTTCTGTTCTGTTTTGTTTTTTCAATAAATCCCTAAAGGACAATTAGCAAGTCAAATCAGATTTAGTTGTTATTTTTTGACTTGGAGAGGGTTTAAACACCTAGCATTTGCAAATGCTAAGAAGCAGAGGAGATGTGCTTTAAAAGAGCATAAGAAGTAAATGGTATTATTATGGAAAACATATCATTACTGGACAAATGAAAAACTGATGCATTTTACCTAGAGTCTTAGTGAATTCCTCTCTGTAGTCAAAAATTAAAAAAAAAATGCTGCATCTCAAATGACTTCCCTAGAAGCAAAAAGTATATAAGTGGTGTTGTGATCAGGAAGTCATTGTGAAGAATTTTGACAAAAGGATTCCATAAAAGGTATGTGTGCTCAGTTCAGTCAGCTTAATCAATGGCTGAATATTAGCAGTACTCATATATATATATTTTTATTGGGTTACACTCGGCGATGCACAGGGATTACTCCTGGTTCATGCACTCAGGAATTACTCCTGGTGGTGCTCGGGGGACCATATGGGATGCTGGGAATCGAACCTGGGTCAGCTGCATGCAAGGCAAACGCCCTACCTGCTGTGCTATTGATCCAGCCCCCAGCAGTACTCCTATATTTAAAAAAAAATTATGTGTGGTACAAAAAACAAATAATATATTTTAATAGGTAATTGAAAGTATGTCTTTCTAATTATAACTTTGTACTATAAGCAGATACAAACATCTTACAACACCCTTGAAATTGAGATTGCTATTTCATCAGCAATTTATATATTTTACTTGGAAGAAAACATGTTTTGGATCTTGGGCAAATAGAGATCAGATATTTTGGATTTCTTTAAATTTGGGAACATGTGATATGTATTCTGTGTCATGTGGGATGGAATATAGTGGTGGGTTCGATATTTAGTTGTAGCCTCGGTGGCAAACTGTCTGCTCTGAATATAAGAGCTCAAATGTTGATTCTTGGGAATGAAGTCTTCTAAAATTGACCTCAGATGTTAACTTCTTTGCTGAAGATTTTCCTGATGCCACCTTTCTCCTTTGGAGGAATTGACCATTTTCCTTGGGGTCCCTGGCCTGCAGGCCGTTGCAGCTTATCCTCTGTATTATAAACTCCGAAGGTCTAGAATCTCTGCTTTGTCTTTGATCTATAGACCCACCGACAGTGCTTGGTTTATAGGTTGCCCTGAATGTTCATAGCAACAAAGTGTTTGTGAACTTGAACAGCTAGAGTGTAGAGTGGGATTTTTTAAAAAAAAATTTTGGGTCACACCTGGCAATGCATAGAGGTTACTCTTGAATTATTCCTGGTGCTACTCGGGGAACCATATGGGATGCTAGGAATAGAACTCAGGTTGGCTGTGTGCAAGGCTATTGCTCCAGCCCCCGTAGAGTGGTTTTTGTTTTTGTTTTTCTTTCCCCACATCTCAGTTCTTACTCAAGGGCAAAATAGGTTTCTGTAAAAAGGTTGTTTTTTTTTTTAATTTAACTTACCGATTGTGGTTTGGGGGCCACCCCCAGAGGTGCTCAGGGCTTATTCCTGGCTCTGAGTTCAAGAATCACACCTGGTGGTGCTCAGGGGACTGTATGGAGTATAGGGTATAAAACCCTGGTCGGTTACATGCTATACTATCTCTCCAGCCCAATTTCTATAAAATATTTTAAAGATCCTGCTTGCTATCCTGAATCTCATTACTTGTTCTCTAGATCTCCAGGTCTAATCAGATTTGGGCTTGAAAATGCTCTTCACTTCTGGAACTCCTAGAAGTGAATGTAAGAATATTTTAGAGCAGCAACTGAGATGGTTTCTAGAGTCTGTATAATTTATGTGAATGGAAGTGATTCTGCTGCCCACACTAAGACCACATATAGCTCTGGCTTCTAACCGTCTAATTTCTAGTTGGCTTTGTCTTATCTCTCCTGGCTTTGGTCTGTGGTTCCCAGATGTGGGAGCTGAAGAGACGTGACTGCTATTGTCACTTGAGGACCAAACTGGGGTGATGTATAAATTGGGGTTGCATTAAAGTTTGTCAACACCTGAAAGTGCAGACTTAATAAGAAATTTTTTTCTTGCAGAGAGATGATTTTTAAAAATTATCCATGTTTTATTCCCATGAAAAACCAAGAAGTTGCTTGGAATATTTAGGAAGGCACTTTATTTTTTATCGAATGCCTGCTTTGTGCCAGTCATGGGCTTGAATGCTGCCACGTGCACTATTCCATGAAAAGCATCCAGCCACATTTGCCATGGTGTCTTTTGTTTTGACATGATTGTAGATTTACATGTTCTAAGAAAAATGCAGAGAGATCCCATGTACCCCTCACCCATTTTCCTCCATTGCTAATAATCTTGTGTAACTAGGATACAGTTCTGTTGATCTTTTCCAAATTTTAATGACTGTACATGCATATGTGTGTTTGTTTTGTGTATTTTGGTCTGTATAATTTTACTACATGATTAGGTTGTCATTTCTTTTTCAACACTTCTCGGAAACAAGGCTCAGATAAGTTAGGTGAAATGCCTTAATGTTCAGGCCTAGAATTTCTTCCAAGTTCTGTTTGATCCAACCAGATTGCTCTTTCAGTAATAACAATGATGAATGACAATAGTAATTAATAACAATGGCTGGAACTCTGACATAAGAAACATTTTGAGAGCTGTGCACGTGCCAGGGACTGTTCAAATGTATTAACTATTTTAATGCTCCAAGAACTATGTCACATAAATAACATCATGGTTGAACTATTATCATTAATCAAATAAATCATATTACCAAGAAACAGGTAATTATTTTTAGTACCGCTAAAATTAATAATAGCGACTTTCTACACTTTTAAAAGCATAATTTCATAGTTTGAACTTCTGACTTAACCACACTGGTTTTGGCAGTTGCAATTATCTGTGTGTGTGTGTGTGTGTGTGTGATATAATATATAAAGTGAGGCAAATAAAAACTATAAAGAATACTTAATTGGAAAAGGTTTTCTCCCTCTTTCCCCCAGAGTATTTTAGATGTTTTTGTCCAAACACGGGCCCTCAAGCCTTTGAGTTTAATGTGCTACCTCAAGATGGATTATCTATCTTTGAAAGTGGAACTTAAGGCATTTGGCTGTGTGTTGTCACTGGTTATCAGACTAAAAGAATGCTCGAGGCAGGTAACAGGCACCCCAATTCATAATATATTGCGCTTTACTAGTTAACTAGCTTGTAAAACTGTCCTTCTGTAGCGGCACTTACTCAAATCAGAGGAAACAGCATGCGCGTGCACGTGTGTGTGTGTGTGTGTGTGTGTGTGTGTGTGTGTGTGTGATCCCAGGAGGTCTTGGTGTTTTTGTAGACGGAACTTTGTCCTTTTTACCTCATGTAATCCCACTGGACAGTGAAACATACGCTATGAGTTGACAGTGACTTCTGCCAGGTCACTTCCCTAAAGAGGGCAGGCACTGTTGCAACATTTTCTTGGACAGGACTTGATGGCCCCTGAAGGAGATGGATGGTGTATGTGGCCTGCTACCGGGGAACACTGTGCTACTGTCTCCCCCAAGGGTGCTGGGAGTGAGGTACAGCCCCAGAAACTTCTGCCTGTGCCCTTAACTTGCATAGGGCGTTGCCTACCCCCCAGACCACAGTCAGATTTAATCTCAGTCCTAAGGCGTGTGAGACTGTGTGTTCAGGCGTGTGACTGTAACAGCACAGAACAGACTGTAGCCTTCCTCCTGTCTCACATTTTTAGAACTTGACTTTGGACAGTAGATAATGCCAGTGCTTTGGAAGCCATGCATTAGGAACTGTTTGGAAACCACAAAACCTTTTTAACGAACCGCTCTATCAATTTTCTGCTCCTCTAAGGAAGTTTTTCCTATTCATGACTCATTTCACTCCTGGGCTAGTGCCGAGGGAAATGTAATAATGATTAAGGGTGAAAATGTATGCATTTTCTTTCTCTTGAAAGCCTGGACACACATTTTCTGTCTCAGGCCGTGTCAACTTGAACTGCGGTCAACAACAGTGCAAGAGTAAACACCAGTCTGTGAAGGCAGACGGCTTTGAGATTGAAGAACAGTCAAGCGTCCTTTTGCTGCTTTGGAGAAGTGTTTTTACTTGATGGCCCAGCATATAAATCCAGTAAAAACCACATGCTTCAACCGTCATTGACACACACACCTTCAGCGAAATTAATGAGATCAGTCCAAGATTACACTCTGTGTTTTATTTTCATTTTATAGGTCTGTATGAGCTCTTGGCTGCTCTGCCAGCCCAGCTGCAGCCACATGTGGACAGCCAGGAAGACCTGACCTTCCTCTGGGAGATGTTTGGCGAAAAAAGCCTGCATTCACTGGTGAAGGTAAGTCCTCCCGATGTCAGCTTCTCTCTGCGGAAAAACATATGGAAAACTGTTTTTGAGCACCATCTAGTAGACCAGAGATGAGATTGTTGCACTCCGAAAACAAAACTGCCTTGTTTCCTCTGGCTGACGGGCGTGGAAGCGAAAGATCCTACCAAAAATACATCGATGATTTCACTTACGGGTGGTGATCTGGCCATGAATACTAATACAGCAAACATGTGCTTGCCCGTGTTTAGACAAAGAGGCTGAAATAGTAGCAGGAAGGTTTAGACGTCTTTATGGTCAACATTCATGAGCCGGGATTTAACTTAAATAAATAAATGCTCGCAGCAAAAAATTAGAAGGAATATATTTTTTGAGGTTAAGGATGGCAGGGGTTCAGTAGCCACATTAATTTAAAATAATTTCCTTTAACAAAGTCAACTGAAATTCTACCATGCTTTTCCCCCCTCCATTGGCACGGTGCCACTGAAATGGTATTTCGTGTATAAATACACTGAATTAAAAGAAGGAGGAAAAAAAAGTCAAAAGAGCTTTTGGAGACAGTTTTAGTTTAAGTGTCATGCCATCAGCTACCAGAAATCAGATCTTGCCACAGCGACCCTGGGAGTGATCAGGACTCTGGAAATAGTAAAATGGGAACAAGAAACTTACTGAAAAATATGCCACGCTTGCTTCTGGAAATAGGAATTGCATTTTCTCACATGTAATCCGGATTGAGAAAAAGCTGCATCTTTCTTAGAAACCTGTGATCCCTTCATAATCTTTAGACCCACACTCAACAAACTTCATTAAGGCTGGCAGCCTCGGGAGAAGGATTTTAATTGATGAATGGGGTTAGCAAATGAGTAACTTTCAGTGCAGTTGCTTTCAGCCTAGGAGAATGCTTATTCTGTGTTCTTTGTCAAAGATGATGAAATTAGTGTGCTTCCAGCAAGTGGAAGTGTGGAGATGTGGTATTGTCCTACATTTCAAAGCAACACTTTTCAGGACGAGGATGTTTTATTTAGTTATATAATTGCCACGTTTAACTTTATGTTCAGGCTAATTTTAGGTAATTTAGTTGCTGGCTTGGGATGTGTTAAAAATGGTCTTGAGACGTACTTGAAATTTGTGAATTACTCAGTCATAAGCATTCCTGAGGCAATCATGAAAATATTCCTGCAACTGTATAGAAGTAGGATGGCTGTGGATTTTAAATTTATTTTATATTTTTGATAAGAGGAATGAGATATGTTTCAAGGGGACAGCATTATCATGCCGTAATCTTTAAAGAAACATGCCCCCATGGTTTCATTTATAATATGTTCTTACGTCTAAGTTGGAAATGACTTGACAAGGATGGTAGTGAGTTTTGAATAAAATAATGAAGATCTAAATTCTGGGCGATGCAGTTTAGGCAAGTATAAGTACACATTACTAAAAAGTATGGTGGAAAACTGATTATTAGAACATGTAAGGCCCTCCCGTTGATCGTCGATTTGCTCGAGCGGGCCCAGTAACGTCTCCATTGGAGACTTTGTTGTTACTGTGTCTGGCATATTGAATACGTCACGGGGAGCTTGCCGGGCTCTCTGAGAGGGGTGGAGGAATCGAACTCGGGTCGGCCATGTTGGCCGCTTGTAAGGTGAATGCCCTACCCGCTGTGAATCAAAATAATAGAAGATGGTTATTATACAAAAAGCAACTTTAAAAAAAGTGTAAAAGAAGATATTTGTGGGATGAATAGATGGTTCAGTAAGCTGATCCTGTCTTTGTTTGCTGGAGGCCTCGGGTTCGAGCTCTGACACCATGTAGTCCCTGAGCACTGTTGAAAACCACTCCCGAACACTGCCAGCTCTGCTCTCCCCCTCCTCCTCTCCCCCCACACACACCAAAAAAAATCTTTTGGTTACACTGGGAGAGTTTTAAGTATAGATTGATTTTCAGAGTATGTCAGTAAGAAATGGTTAGGAAGCATACAGTTGTTGTTGCCAGCATTTAAATAGTGCAATAACATGTGGCATTCCAAGTATTTTCCAGTAATTGCTATCAAATTTAAGTTAAAAATATTTTTATGCCACTGACCTCGGTTTGAATCCTGGCACCACATATGGTCCCCTGAGCATTTCCAGGAGTGAGCCCCGAGCACAGAGCCAACGGTCAACCCTGAGCACCACCAAATGCGGCCCTCCAAATAAATAAAAGGACCATTAAATCACCACATAGTTTTAAATACATTTTACTTGCTGCTCAGTGTTTTACAGTGAAGACAAGGCAGTGCCCAAGAGTCTGTGACAGGTTTGGTCACCTGGACTTAGCCAGGATCTGGCAGGAGTAATCATGTAACAAAATGTTATTAGCATCAAGCTGAGAATTACCTGCACTCCTTAAGATTGAAATCACAGAAGCATAGTAATTCAATCATTATCTGGAAATCTCTTGAAAATACAAAGTGATGCTTGTTGAAATATTGCAGAATCCCAAAAGGACAAAAATCAGATTACTACTCTTTTTCTCTCTTGCCTCCATCCATAGAGGCAACTAACAAGATAATATATATATATGTATACATATATATGTATATATGTACAACTATTTAAAAAGGAAGTAGAATTTTTTTATTTTTACCCTAAAAACGCAATAAAAACTAAGAAAAAAACAATCTTTTTTTTTTTAAGGAAACTCATAACTACCAACCTTATTTAAAAACGAATGTAATATTTAAACAAGTCTTATGCCCTATCTTGTTTTAAACCACATTACCAAAAAGTATACATAACATGACTAAAGATAAAACTAAAGTTTACAGTAAAGAAATACCAGATAAACACAAGGGAAGATGATAAATTTAGAAATGAGGTTAGGACACAAATTATATGCTTCAAGGTTCTGTATATTTGTAAAAGTTGGGTCCAAAGTATGTCTCGAAGCCTGATTTTCATATTCATTGGGTCAGGTAAATCCTTATTCTTGTTTTGCTCCATCTTACAAAAGAGATTTCCATTCTTATGTGTGACATTTTTTTTCAGGTCTTATATGTGTTAATCTTTCACCTGTCATTCTAAAACCTCATCCTCACAACTTTTATTAAATTTTCCTGTTCCGAATTTTTCTTTTAAAACCATCATATCCACAGCTAACACCCTATACAAAATCTTCTGGTATTGGACCAAGTGTTTAATGTATTTTACATTAATATTTACAATACAATTCCTGGGTTACACGGGTAAATTGTTTAGTTTTCCTAGAAACTTCCAAACTGTCTTCCAAAATGACCATACCGTTGTGTATTTCTACCCACAACGAATGAGAGTTCTGCAGCTTTGCTTCCTTGTCAGCATCTGACATGGTCAGGAAGTTTGGATCCTAACTTTCCTGTGATGGATGTGTGGCGGTAACTTATTGCTATTCTTTCCTCTAATTTGCGCTTCTCCTAAGCAAGCATGTTCCACATTTGTCATCTCTGCGTCTCTTCTTGGTTGAAGATCTTTGTTGCCCCATTTTTAGTTGTTTATCTCCTTCTGAATTCTAACAAATTGGAGTATTGGGGGGGAGTTACAAATCTGGTTTGTGTTTTGTGTACATTTCCTGGGGTGGCTTGCCTTTCCGTTCTTCTCATGGATTATTTCACGGAACAGAAGTTTTTTGTGTTAATGAAGTTTAGCTTAATGACCTTTCTTTTTTTCACAGATTGCGCTTTTGGAGTTGTATCTAACAGTTTATTGTCATACCAAGTTTACCCAGATTTTTCTTGTTATCTTGCTCTGTGGATTTGTATTTACATTTAATTTTCTGTTCCACTGAGTTTTGTGTGAGTGAAAATTTTGTGCGTATAAATATCCAGTTGTTCCCAGCTCCGAAACAGTAGTTGAAAAGACTGTTCCTTGCTTCTGCCACTCTGTCAAAGATGAATTGATTTTATTTATTTATGTGGGTCTGTTTGGGGGTACTCTGTTTGGTCCCACTGATCTATCTGTCTGTGCCAGTGTTGCTCAAAGTGGACAGTATAGCTGGGTGGTGTGGGGAAGTGGCACTGGAATTATCTGGAAAATGTTCATAGCCTCAGTGGCAACTGGGTAGCACTTTTAGTACTTTTAGTTTGCTTAAGGAAGTTAAATTTCCAGGGGGAAGTTGAAAGTCCATTTACCCAGAGAGTTCCGTTCTCTTCAGATGTAGCAGCATAAAAACTCCAAGTCTTCCTTTATCCACATTCTGACTTAAGTGGTTTCTTTTTGTTATTATGGATCTCTAAGTGTTCTTTAGTTTGGAGACCAGTTCCATATCAGATAGATTTCTGTTTCATCCCATGGTATTGTTTTTCACCTTCTTGTAATGGTATGTTGCAGTTTATGCTGTTTTATCTTGAGGGGAGGGGGATTGGGCCACATCCAACAGTGCCCAGGGGTCACTCCTAGTGGTGCTCAGGGTAAGTGTTGGGGATCCCATTGGGGTCAGCCTCCAGCAAGGCAAGAACCTTAACCCTTGTATAATCTCTTCAGCCCCACAAATAAGTGTTTTATCACACTCATAATAAACAAAGAAATACAGATAACTAAAATTCAGATAGTATTAGAAGTGCCACAATAATCTCTTAGGTGTTTGCCTGATTCATTAATAAATATGAACACTTGGAAGGTAAAACGAATTCCTAGTATTAGTCCTAATTTAAAAGCAAGAACTATTAAATATTAAGTAGTGGTCATATGTGTTATCAGAAACACCCTAAAAGATGTCCTGAAATTCTGTTTTTAATAAAAAGATATGAGCTCATGGTCAGATTAGTTGGCTAGTGAAAACACTATGAAAAAAAAAACTTGATAGGAGTTTATTTTTAAATTGCTGTTAATATGGTTATTAAAGTTTTTAGTGCTCATGAATTTTGGTATAATTTCAAAAGTGAAAAATCTTAGTCTTGAGTCTAAGTGCTGAGCAGATGCTCACATCACAACCCATAAATAAGACCATAATTTCACGCTTCAATAATTTTATATCCCCAACCTGGAAACTGTAGAACA